TGGATAAAACCATGTCACTGGACCCATCCTTTCCACTCATAGAAAAGCAGTGTTTCCTGATGGCTTGGAAATGAGGCTCAACTCTCTCAAACAGGGCCCACAGCAGTGCAGGTTGTGCACTGCACAATAACAGCCTCCTCCGAGTGGCCATGTTCATGTAGCAGACACCATAGATACGTATGCTCATGATGACAATTTCCTGGAAGGGCTAGTAGAGTTCCTTGTTCTAACAAAATCTGTATTTTATAACAATATTCTAACAAATAGAAGTAAAGTATCTTGAGGGAAGGCCCCATTTCCTAATTCACACAAATTTGCCCCATGGGCTAGTGGTGGTAAGCTAACTCTTATCTCTTCTCCCTCTTGAACTGTAATGAAACCTAGATTCCAAGCACTGTAATTGTGCTTGGCTTTTTCATGGCTCAGATGCATTCTATCAAACTTGCTTCAAGCAGCTAACACTTTCTCTTTTTTCCTATCCCATGTGATTCCATCTTTCCTACCTAGCCCATTTCTATCCCCCTAGTTCTGGTTCTACCAACACTTCTTCTAATTCACAACAGATCACTTTTCCTGGTTCATCTTATTTTTCCAAAATTCAAACACAGTTCTGGGATTGTCCACTATAGAAACCCCAGAATCCCATGGTCCAAGAAGATAAGAGGCCTCCAACCAGAAACTATGTAGGGAGCCTCCCTTTTCTGCCATATCTCTCTGGAATGGCTCCAGAAGCCTCCTAAACATCAATTCTTAAAACGATTAACTTATATATTGCTCACAGAAATATAAATCACTCTGAGTCATACTTGGCTTCAGCTCCTTCAAAAGTCAGCCAGAGGGTCAATGCAGACTCTAATTAAATTGCCACCCATAGCAAATACCTCTACAAAATTAACTCTAAAGTAGCACGTAGTTTCGCCCTCAAAAATGGTTCTCACTCTGTTCTATAAGAAACTTCATGGAAAACCTGGAAAAAGCATTGTGCAAAAAAGATACAAATCTATTTCAGGAATGTGGCTACCTCTGGGGTTGGGGGGCGGGGCGTGCAAAGCAGGGACAAGAGCAGGAAGTAGGCTGTTCTCTATACCACTGTATTTCTTTTGAACAAAATCTCAAATGAGAATGGTGAAATGTTAACATGTGTTGAATGTGTGTGGTGAGTAGAGGATATCTGTTATGTCATCTCCTGCTCTTTGAATGTTTGAAATATTCCATAATTTACATTTTAAAATGTAAAAAGTACATTTTTATGCACTTTAACAAAGACTATATCCTAATTATTCATGAGAGAAGCTTTAGGGCATTCTATGAACCCAAAGTGATCGTGTTCTGTCCTCCTAGATCTGGATCTACCAGAACCTGGTGGACCTGGACTATGAGGTAAAGTGACCATGAATAACGCCTCTGGTGAGCCTTGGAGGCAAAGGGCAGTGCCGAGGCTGGGCAGCACACAGTGGGCCCACAGGGTGAGTGCGGCCCTCCATCCCAGCTTTTGCTTCCCACATCCCACCGGGTTGTTAAAGACTTCCACCAGTCTCAGCCTCTAGCCTTCTGGAGAGGAGGCGTGCATTCAATGATGTATCCATTCTGCCACCTAGCCTTCATCCAGGTCATTACAACAAAGCTGCCTCAAACAGCTCTTCTCCCAATCTTGCTGAATTTCCCTTGTCTGGGGAGGGACCCGAGAGGCTAGGGTACTTTATTTCTTGAAGGTCACCACACCTTGGTTCTGGGCCAGGATGAGGCGGCAGCATTAGTATGCCTGCTGTGCGTTGGACTGGGAAAGAAACTGATTCCATCACATAAGATCTTTAAAACAGAATAATTACTCACTGTGGAAAATGGTGGGCAAATCTGCCTGAGAGAGTGGTGAGAGCAATGAAGACAAGAGAGAATGAAGACAAGGCCCTTAGAAGACATTTTTCCTTTCCAACCAGAGAAGCCCAAGATATGTTATGTACTATTAGAAATCCAGCATTCCCAATCCAAGCTATCAGGCATCACCCTCGCCTCAAAAATGACCAGAGGAAAGGACTCACACTTTATAGAACAGAAGTGCTACGCACCCTTTGAAAAGTAGTACATGTAAAAGCACAAATCTTTTACTTGGTTGCATGTGTTGGAGTTTGGTTTTGATACCCAGTTAATTTTTTAAAGGAATGGGGAGGGGTGATCTCTGAGGGACGGCCACAAGTGGATGATATTTAACTTCTTCCTTCTCCAAGAAAGATGTGGTTGAAAGGCATCAAAACTCAAATATGCCAGAGTCCAGAAGCAGAGAGTTGAGAAGCAACTGGCCGTGCAGGGAGGGGGAGTGAACCATGCCCCTGACATGTGCATCTGGCAGGAATAAATGAGCCCCTCCCAATGAAGTTCATCGATGCAAACTATTTTTTCCAGAAGCAATCTTCTGAAGGTGATTGTGAGCAGATCTAGGTCTTCAAAATGGAGGGCAAGGGGAATGAAATCAAGAAAGGCTCGTGGGCATTCCCCAAACCCAACTTCCCATAACAGAACCTCCCATTCCACTGTCATCCATTAATTATGGACTTGTAACAGCAAACCCATCTGACCAGTATCCCACCTTTGGACAAAATTACTTTAGACAATCCCAGGCTACTGCAATTTCTTTCTCATGCCCTCCCAGGGAGCCTACCTGAGGGGCCCCTGGACAGCAGCTCATGTCCCATCAGCTCTCACCCCTCATGACTAAGCCCACATCAAAGTCTGGACACGGCGTGGGCCCTTACCATTTACATTTCTGCAGGGTCCCCTCTCTCCATGGCCCCCTCTGCCGCCCTACCCCAAGGTCCTGCCACAACCCTTCTGTCTCCCTATCCTTGTCGTCTTCTCCATGAATCATCCCCTCTTCCTTTTACCTGTCCTCACACATTTTATTTTCCAGCCACTGGAAGTTGGCTAGACAAAAAGACATGTCACTGGAGGCCGTCTCTCTCAGAACAGAGGGTGGTTGGAACCAGGCAACTCATGTTTCTCTGGAAGGAGCACCACAATTTCCCCATTCATCTTAAATGCTACCAGTGTGCCTGGGGTCGGCTTCGCTGCCGAGTGGGTGCAGAAATAGGAGCAGGGGGTGGAACACACAGCACACTGTTCGGCCGCTGTTCTAGTCTGAACTTGACACAAAAAAGAAAATAACACATGACCACCCTCACTCCTCAAATATTTCAACCAAATTTTTCCCTCCTAACTTACCAAGCGCCCAGACAGAGGGGAGAAGAAATGATGAAGAGCCTCACTGGTTTTCTTTTTCTTTTCTTTTTTTCTCCTTTTTTTTTTTTTTTTTTTTAATCATTACACATAGACCCTCCTCCTTCTCCCAGCCAACATCTAAAACCCCTCTGGCAATACAAGCAAAAGCAGGACTTTAAACTTTAGCCTCATTTTTTAAGCTGTGCCTTTAGGCAAGTAGATAGTGAGAAGAGAGATCAGAATCTGGGAGTGTTAACAGCCTAGAGAGAATTGCTCCTGACCCAAACCAGCAAGAAAAATATTTTCTTAAAAGCAGTCCTGCAGAAAGAATTCTTATCATAGATAAGAGTGCAGTCTAGTGGCAAACTTCATGAAATGCAGCCCCTTCCAAAGGAACAAGGGAAATGTAAGAAGCAACACTCCCACCCCAGTTTCTCCCAAATGGGGCTGCAAAGATGGGTCATTTCCTTTGACCTGGCAGTGAGGGCCATAACCTGTCCATGTCAGTTTCAGAAAAAAATAAATAAAATTGCCACGTTCCTTCTTTGAAGACTTTAGCTTTCTTTCATTTTGCGAAGGAGAGAAGGAGTCCACGGTGTCTGAATAGACTATCTGGTGTTTCAAATGGGATAATAATGTTCCTGGTCAGAATCTCTTCAGAGTAAGTCCTGTGGCCTGTCAGCTCATATTGTTGGGACATTCATGTGTGTGCTAATTAACCTGAGAACAGGGTGTCTTTCTGGACTGTCACCCACCCCCTCCAAAGATGTGGCCCTGCTCAATAGAAGTGCCCCTTTAAAAAGAGGTGGAGGGAAAGAATTATTCCAATCTGCCTTCCATCTAAAAATCCCACCCAGGACACTTTAGATCGCCAGGCAAGATTTTCAGACTGAGCATTTCTTCCAAGTGCCAATCTCTGTAACTCACTGCTGTGGTCTGACTGCCCCTGCAGGTGCACACAACACACACACACACACACACACACACACACACACTCACACACACACACACACACACACACACACACACCTTCTCTGGGCCAACAATGTAGCAGAAGGAAAGTGGCCGCGTCTTGCTTGACCATATGGCCGAAGACAGTCACTCCCCCAACAACAGAAACTCTTGATTAAATTCCCCTTCCCCAGGCTTTAGGGGAGAAATCCAGTTTTTCTTCTTTTTCTTTCTTTTTAATTCAGGTCACCACCCATCACTGGCCATCCTATATTAATAACCCCAACACACACACACACACACACATACACACACCTTACATGGTAACTTAGACACCAGCAAACTTAGACACTAGCAGACAGCCATTTACCAAAACTTGGGAAGAATTTCTTGGGCACCGTATATATCCAGTTGGCTAATAAAAAAAAAATACTTCTCCTCCGGCCTGGGCCTGGGCTAGTTAAGGGGCGGGAGGGGAGACGAGACTGAGTTACTCCTCATTGTGTCCACCTTGCACAGAAGAACCCTCATCGCCACGACCTCCCCCCCCCCCACACACACACACACACCTCCTCCTCCCTCACACAGCCCCTGCCTGGTCCCCGGTGCCCCTTTCTTACATTCCGGGGGGAGGAGGGTGCTGTTCCTGCAGCGAAGGGGAGCCCCTGTGTGTCTCGAAGGCCTCTCCCCACCCCCACTCCGTGTGAGTTCGCACTGCAAAGCTCTTTGGCATCCTTGCCTGGGTTGGGTGTTGGGGAGCTCAAATTGCAGCTACAAACTGGCTGGCAGCCAGGGCCGTGTATTTAAAAGCGCCTGCTCCACCGGAGTCGGTAGTCTCTTTGGAAACTTCTGCGGGGGTAAAAGAGCTAGGAAAAGCTGCAAAGCGGTTTGGGGTTTTTCCTCTTTTTTGCTCCTTCTAATTTCCCTCTCCTCCGTGTGCACCCTTCTCCGGGATTCGCGCCGAACCTGCGAATTTCGAAGAGGTGGTTGCAGAGTGGGAGAAAAGAGGGGTTAGGGTTGGGTGTTTTTTTTTTCCTTTCTTTCTTTCTTTCTTTCTTGATTTCAATATTTTCCCCTGCCCTCGCAGCTGCAGCCGCCACCTTTTACCTGTTCCGCGGCAGCCGCGCGCCGCTAGCAGCTGAGGTGTACTTTAGATTTTAAACAACATTTTTGAAGACAAACCTCTTTTTCTCCACCCCACCCCTCTCCTCCACAGCCTCCGAGCTCTTTATTCCGGGGGTTGCTTTGGGGCGAACAATTTTTGGCTTTTCCCCCTGCAGTTCTGACCAGGTCGGGCTTGGGGGCTGTTGGTCCGGTGCGTGCACCTGGCGCTGCTCTTTCGCCCTCAACCTGTTGCAAGTCTTGAATCCCTGTGATCGGGACTTGCTTGCAGGCACCCCAGCCCTCTCACTCTCCCCACATTTTGCAATTGTCTGGGGGAGGGCGCCTGCTCTACCTGCCAGAATTTTTTTTTCAATTTCCCCGGCGCCCTCCTAGCCCCTTTCTCCCCGCACTCTCGCTCTCCTGCCCCGCCCCGAGGTAAAGGGAGACTTGAAGATGGTGCTCACCGCAGTCCTACTGCTGTTGGCCGCTTTCGCGGGGCCGGCCCAGGGCCAGGGCTCCTTCGTGCACTGCGAGCCCTGCGATGAGAAAGCACTGTCCATGTGCCCCCCCAGCCCCCTGGGCTGCGAGCTGGTCAAGGAGCCGGGCTGCGGCTGCTGCATGACTTGCGCCCTGGCCGAGGGGCAGTCGTGGTCAATGTGCTGGAAAAAAGGGACACGTAATACTTTCAACAATAAAGGTTTATTAAAAAACAACAGCTTTGGCTCTGCAAAATAATCCAGCAACCAAAGAAAAGGCAACAGACGAAATGAGAGAAGTTATTTGCAAACAACAGCTC